GAAAGAAATTTAAAAATATTTTTCAAAAAGTGAACTTCTAATATATTAATAATAAAATGGAAAAAGGTTCAAATAAGCCTTGTACTATTTCTAAATCATCATTTTAGCTCATGTACTAAAAAAATATCATATAAGTACGCCTACTTTACAAAATGGATCAAGTTGATCATTTAATCAGCTTTTGACCTGTAATAGTAGGTTTTTAATACTTAAAAGTTCTAAAAATTGTTAAAATTTGAAGAAATATATACAAAAATTGTGAAAATTTTTAGAATATCAAAGTCAATATTTTTTAATTTTTAAAAAAATTGTATATTCGACATCTATTTAAAAGGTTTTAAAGTTTTTATTTTTTCTTTTTATATTTTCCCATTAATTTTTCAGTTTTATAATATTGTTTTCATTTCTTTTACTTTAATTTTTTTAAAATTTTATCTATTTTTATATTATTATTAGATTATCTATTCAAATTTATATGAATTTTTGTAAGATTTATCAATATTTCTAATTTAATTTAAAAAAAAATATGTTATAGCAGATCAAAGAGCTTGGTTGATTGTATTTTACAAGTAGACGTACTTATATAATACTTTTTTAGTACATGAGTTTAAGTGATACATTAAAACAAATGAGTGCGCACATTTATAATCTTGTAATCCTTGTAAAGTAATTTTGAACAATGTTATACTTCAACCTTTATAATTGCAGCGTTTCTATTTTCATGTCAATCAACACGAAACTTTCACTACAAAAAATTACTCAATTGACACGAATTGAGTGATGATTTCGTGCCAAAATAGTTTGTACCAAATTCTATATGAATCTTTGCCAAATATCTTTGGGCCATCCTATGTTTTTTGTATGCTTTAATCAATTTCATTCCTTATTAGTAAAAACATTTTTAAAAAATCAGATGTAGATTTAAAATGAAAGAAATTTGATGATATTTTTCAAAAAGTGAACTTCTAATATATTAATAATAATAATAATATGTAATCAAAGTAGAGAATGTAGGGATGGACCGGTTCCGGTTCGGGCCTCGTTCGGGCCTCGGTTCATGAAGGGGAGGCCCGGAACTGGCCCGGGTTACCCCTGGGTCCGGGCCGGGCCGGGCCTCGGTTCTATTTATTTTTTTTTGGCTTTTCCTAGTTAACCCCCAACTAGGGGTGGATTCGGGTCGGGCCTAGGCCCGATCGGGCCGCCGGTTCGTATCACATGGGTCCGGGACCGGCCCGCGGGTTGGACGGGTCCGGTTCGGGCCGGGCCACCCGCCCGGGTCACGGGTCGGGCCACCCGCCGGGCCGGGCCGGGTCGGTTAAATATTTTTTTAAATTTATATTTTATACTTTATAGTTTTATACAAGTATTAAAAAACAAACTTCAAGTGCATTTATTTGAAATGAAATAGGAACTACATTTGAAAATTAAATAGGAACTATAATTGTTTTTAAAACATGAAATACTAATCAATCATTCAATATTTCAATCGGAATCTCCGGCATAGGTAGAGTCACCCTCGGTTGTAGATTCATCCATAAAGTGTTGGGATGGGGTGATGTCAATTTCTTGAACTCTACGGGCTGCTTTCAACCAATCGTGGTAGCATATAAGCATCTCAAGAGATTCAGCGCTCAACCTCGTTCTGGTTTGTGTTAAGACATTGCCGGCCGAACTAAATTCTTGTTCCACGGCAACCGTTGAAACCGTCATTGATAGCACTTGCTTAGCCATCTTTGCTAAAACCGGGAACATTCTTTCTTTTCCCTTCCACCAGTTTAGTACGTCAAAATCATCATCTTCTTCAAAATCAACATCATAAGTTAAATACAAAGAAATCTCATTAATTGTGCTTTGTTGTGTAGCGGGAGTTGATTTCGTTTTTTTAATAAGATTGTCAAACGTAGATTTGAAAATTGATTTTCCTTTAGATGATGTTTGTGTCGGGGGAGGGGGCGCATTGCCATATTGTGCATGAAACTCATTGAATAATGCATAAAATATATCACTAACCTCGTTGTATTCTTTTTTCGGATCAATTGGGTTGTCCTCATACATTGGCAATGGACCAAAAAAAGCAGCATAATAATAATTCAAACATTCTTCTAAAGAACCAAGTCTAAAACGAGGATCGAGAACAAATGCAATACCATAAATATGCGGAATATGTGAATAATATTTTAAAAAATTTTCCTTCATAAAACTAGCAAAATAACTCACATAATCAGCATTCTCAAAATTTGAAAAAGCACCGGCGAGATTAACAGCTTCACGAATAAATTGGTTTGAGATAGGTTTATAAACATGACTAAAAGTTTCAGTTGCATTATTAAAATATATCAAAACATTACAAATTTTTTCACAGGTGTCGATCTCAGTCGAGTTTATAAAATAGTTATCATATTGTTTCATAAAAGCAGGAAAATGTTGTTTATATCTAAGAAGAACTCCAATTAACTTATAGGTACTATTCCAACGAATAGACAAATCTTTAGGAAAAGCCACATATCTCTCACCTCTTTCTATCAAATAATCATGCCATTTTTTCTTAAGTTGTCCATTACCCCAAATACGTCTAATCCCCCCCTTGACTACCTCTAACGATGCTCCCAACGCTTTTAGACCATCTTGCACACATAAATTTAGAACATGACATGCACATCGTTGATGAAAAAATCTACTCATCAAAGAAGTAGAACCACACAATTCACGCAATCTAGGAATAGCAGCAGTATTATTAGTAGCATTATCAAAACCAATAGCAAACACCATATCAATTAAATTATACTCAATTAAAATACGCTCAATCAAAATATAAATATGTTCAGCGGTGTGACGATCATTAAATTCACGGAAAGCAAGAACACGTTTATGCATATGCCAATCATTATCAATATAATGTACAGTCAGACCCAAATAATGTAAATTATGATAAGTATCCTCCCATATGTCAGAACATACAGTAACACGTCCATCAAAGTTTGCAAATAATTTTGTAACCTTACCTTTTCCGCTCCATAAAGCCTTGAAATTTCTTTCTTAACCGTTTTGCGACTATAACCTCTATATTGCGGGTTTAAACAAGTTTGTGCATAATCACGAAAAGCAAGACTTTCAGAAAACAAATAAGTCAAATTTTCTTCAACAAGTAAGTTAGCCATACCTGTCAAATTTTGTGCATCATTGTATGAGAAATTACCAAAAGCTTGTTGGTTATTTGCAAACCTCGATATTTGCGTTTGCTTCCCCGTTCCGCCGCCTAATTTTGCATACTCCACCGGGTGTTTGGATTTAAGGTGTCTTGTGGCGGATCCGTATCCGCCGGAAATCCCCAAGCTATAGTTTTTCTTGCACTAATTGCAAGTTGTGGTCCAATTCCCGGTGTTCGGGTCCTTCCACTTAGAAAAATTATTAGCCATTAGTTAAGATTTACTTTTTTTTGTACCTGTTTGGGATGAGGCTGGTTGGTCGGCGTCATGGCTGCCGCCACCCTCCTCCTCCTCGTCGTGGCTCTCCGGAATTACTTCCTCCACATCGTCGTCCTCGTCCTCGAGCTCTTCTTCGTCAATGGTCCTCGGTTGGTCTTGAAAAAAGCGGGAATTATGTCGGTGCAATTCTTGTTCTAGTTGTTCGTCGGTCATCGCATCCCCATCTCTCCTTGCGTAACCCGTATCAAAATCATCTCGATTTTGAGATGAAGAGCCGATATGTGATTTACCTTTGCGGGATCTCTTCCTCGCAAGCTCTTTCGTTCGGTTGCGCTCGAGGTTACCCATATCAACCGAATATCTAGGACGATCCATCTAAAAAATGTAGCGATTAATAAAAAATTGTAAAAAACTAATTAACTATTTATGTAACTATTAAATCGAGTTATAGCAAATTAACTAGTGAATTAACTAGTTTTGTGTACAACATATTTTTTAAACTAGAGTCAAATGTAGCAATTAATAAATAATTGTAAAAAAGTAATTAACTATTTATCTAACTATTAATTCGAGTTATAGCAAATTAACTAGTGAATTAACTAGTTTTGTGTACAACATATTTTTTAAACTAGAGTCAAATGTAGCAAATTAACAAGTAATTAAACAAGTGTAAATAATAGAATAATTTCGTACCTCTTTCGGACTTTCGGTCTTTCGGATGGGAGTAATAGAATGACTTCAAATTAATTAGATATAATTCCAACTATATTAATAGATATAATAAATATATAAGTAATATATAATTAGATAACAAATATAAGTAATATAATACTATTTATATCTATTTATAGTTTATATAAGTAGATAATTAATATAAACTATAAATAATAAATATAATATATTGGAGAATGGAGAATAAGAGAATTAGAGAGTAGAGAGTTAAGAATAGGATTTAGGAAGAATTGGAGAAAAGATATGAAAAAATGTTTAAGATTAGGAGTATTTATAGGTTTTTTTACCCTCCACCCCCACCCCACCACCACCCCCCCCCCCCCCACCACCACCACCCCCCACCACCCAACCCCCCGGACCCCTCCTGCACCCCACCCAACGGCTATATAGCCGTTTGGGTTGTCCCCAGCCCACCCCCAACGGCTAGTACCAATTTATTAAAAATAAAATAAAATTAGACCGTTAGACCCGAACCCGGGCCCGACCCTACCCCCAACCCTCCCCTCACCCCCAAACCAACCCTAACCACCTCAAATGGCCCCAAATACCCAACCCAACCCAAAAAATTAAAAAAATTCAAAAAAAAATGGCCCGGCCCAGGCTCGAACCGGCCGGGCCGGTTCACCTTTTGAAGGGCCCGAGCCCGAACCGCCATCCCACCGGGCCGGGTGGCCCGAACCGGCCAACCAACCGGTTCACCGGGCCAGTCCGGGCCCGCACAGTAGCGGACCGGTCCGGTTCCGGGCCGGTTGGCCCGGCCCGAGTCCTCTCCTAAGAGAATGTGAATGTAAAATTCAACATGTTGCATCTATTAATTATTACCATTTGAAATGGTTGTGATATGTTTTACGATCATACAATCAGAACTAATTAAAAATAAAAATTTATTAACTTATCCACATAATCATCATGTACACCATCTTAATTACATAATAATCGTAACTTATCTGCTCTGAAAGTTGAATGACTTAATTGAATATGCAAAAATGAAGCCAAAAATAACGGGGAATGCCACAATAGCACAAGCAACCACTCCAAGAAAATCATGTTTAAATCCAAAGTAATCATCCAAGAATTGCTTCACTGTTTGATTAGAATCACTCATTTTATCATCAATATCTCCAAATTGTGACGCCACCAAGCCGTACAAAGTCCATGCCATGGGGCATGCCCAAGAGTACCACCTCCACCATACAGGCATGCTCTGTTTCATGAAAAAGTAAGAAAAAACATTATAAACATTGACTTTAAGAGTGTGAAAGCGTGTTCCACATTTGTTAAATACAAAACAATAAATCAAAATATATGATCCTAATCAACTCTTGGAATTAGGTCAGAGTTTTAAATGAAATCATGAGTCTTAATATTGTATCAATACCGTCAATTTTGGAGCGTTTGGTTGACTACAGGTTTGGGTATTGCATTTGGCATATGTTTGACTCTTTTATCCATGTTTCTACAATTGTCTAGCCCATTTTATTTTGAGGGGAATGATAAATTGTTTCTCATATTGATTGAATGTAAAACAACAAAGTACATATACGATTCTGCACTACTCGTCCTATTAAGTTTTAGTAAAGAGCGTAAAAAACTTACAGGTCGTGGAATGATGAAACCAGAAAATAGATTCCATGCCCCGTAGAAGAAAACAGCAACGATAGATGCAGTGCTTTCGTTGGGAGTAACAGCCACACACATCATTCCATATAAAGTGAAGTATAACAATGTGAAGAACATTATAAAAATGTACCAGAAAAACTTAGATGCCATCCATTCAAATCCAATTATCGCATAAATAAGGACACCATAAACTACAGATTGTAAGAGTACGTAAGGAATTTCAATAAAAACCTGCCACAAACAAGAAGAATGTTACACATTACCATTCACATTTCTACCCGTATCTGCCAAAAATTAGAACACTCACTTGTCCAAAAGTGTATGGTAATGCAGAATACATTCCAGCTGCCCTCTCTCTGTAGAACACTGTACGTTCAACAGCGACCACGGGTTGTGCTGCTGAAGAGTTTTGCACTCCAAGAAAAAGAACAGCAGTATACATGGATCCCATAGCATTAAACAAATCTTGCCTCTTGCTACTGAAATATGACAAAACAAAAAGAAAGAATGACAAAAATATAAACACGCAAACTTTAAGTTAACAAAAATAAGGCATCTTTCAATATATCTAAAACGTAATCAAAATAGGACACAAAATATATCAAACTATATCTCCATCGATATTCTTTCTATCTCCCGAATAAACATCTGAAATATCACATCGCCACCGGAATTTCAGTAAAAGATGCTAGAAAAGTTCATCTGAAAAGTCACTAGAAAAAGTTGATGGAAAATTTAAGCGTATGTCATTTACAACGGCATCTGGAGCGATGGCAGGTGACACTGGCACTAACTGGAGGTGGCATTCATTGAAAATAAGCCACGACATATTTAGTCTTTTTCACAAAATTTTAAATGTAGTCACATTTTTGTGTTTCCCCTTTTTCAGCAATATTTGAGATAAACTCCAATTGAAAAGGTTAGCATCAAAATACATGGTTTAGGTGTGGCTAAGATGAATTGTTTAAGGAGTCTGAGCTTACGTTTTTGTACCAAGGTCCCAAAAAATTGTCCCAAAAGCCAATGCTATGATAGTTGTGAAAAGTAATCTAACGGCAGTGTAAGATGTGTTACGCCAATAAGAACAATGTTGCTTCCACAGACATGCCATACATTGGCTCCAAAAACCCTGAGAGTATTGAGTGGAGAAACACAAGTCCTTAGAACCAGGGTGGGGTACGCTTAATTCACTTATTAAAGCTTTATTCCTTCTGTAGTGATCCGAGTTCTTATAGATGTCCGAAAAGTCAATGCCTAATGACATCTCTTGAGCAGAAGTTGTCACTTCCAACATCCATGTTGCTGGGTTGTATCCGTCCTTGACTTTTTCAACTCCTTCAATCGACTATTTCACAAAACGATACTAAATTAGTAATAGGATAATAGAATAAAAGTTGAATCGTTGATGTTTTGAGGCTCAGCACCTCAAAGAAATTGATCAAATGGCTTGAATTACTCCCCAATGGTCCAACATAAATCTCTTGTCCTCCTCTCTTCAATAGGAAGAGCTGCAAATTAAAGTTAATATATTCTCATCAGCTTACCCTTTTAAATTACGAATAATATTGGAACTCAAAGAAATTCATCCTACAAATTTTATTACCTCATCAAAAGCTTCAAAAATGTCAATACTGGGTTGATGAATGGTGCAAACTACAGTTCTACCAGTGTCAACAGTATTCCTCACCGTTCTCATGACAATCGCAGCGGCTCTAGCATCAAGTCCTGATGTTGGCTCATCCATGAATATTATTGATGGGTTTGCCACTAACTCAACTGCAATCGTTAGCCTTTTACGTTGCTCAGTTGAGAGACCATTAACTCCGGGTAACCCAACAAGAGCGGATCTCAATTCATTCAGCTCAACTAGCTCCATTACTTCATTAATAAACATCTGCAATGAAATTACCCTGATGTTAAATCTTGTGGTTAAGGATCAATGCTGATTAAAAAGAGTAGCCTACAATCATGTGTGATGGTTTACTATAATATATTTAATCAATGTACGCAAACAATTCAACAATATGGTTTCTAAAATTTCAAACCTTTCTAGTACTAGCATCCACATCATTAGGCAAACGTAGCCAAGCTGAGTAAACTAAGGACTCGTGAACAGTAACAAAGGGAGAATGGATGTCATTCTGTTCACAATATCCTGATATTCGTGCAAAAGTTTCTTGTTTTTTAGGATATCCAGAAACTTTGATGTCCCCATCGATGTATCCGCCAGTTTTTCTTCCGGCCAAAACATCCAGAAGAGTTGTTTTCCCTGCCCCACTCACTCCCATCAAAGCAGTGAGAACACCAGGCCTAAAGGCTCCGCTTACACCATTTAAAAGAACTAATCTATCCTCAGTGGCACCTTGATCTTTCATTTCCTGTGGCATGTCGACAGAGTAGGCAACATTGTCAAATGTAAGGGAGTGAGGTTCAAATGGAAGAACCATTCTTGTCTTCGAGGTTTCGTTCTCCCCGATTTGGTATTTTTGTTGATTGATATTTTGGGTTGAAGCAGATTCATTGGCAACATCATCTAATATGTGAGCTTGGGGCTTGCCGAATGCTGCCATATGAGTAAGAAGTAATTAATAAAAACCTTAAACTTGATTATACACCCTAGAGGAAGATACTCACGATTTAAATATTGGAGAGCTAGTGTGTACAAGATGTTGAACAGCACTATGAACCCAAAAAGTGCCACCACGCCAATCCAATACCATTTAGCTTCTGGGAAGAATCCTCTTGATTTCATAATTGCATCTCCAAGTGGTTCGGTACCATTTGGGGAATTCTATGCACATTAAACACGCGAGTTTATTGTTTCATAATATTAAAAAATAACAAAAGTTGGAATCCACACATTGAGATATAGGTACTTACATGTCTCCAGCTCTTTCCTTTAAATTCATTAACAAGAACTCCATTAATGGCATACATCAATGGTGAAGACCAGTATCCCCAAATCCACCAGCTCTTCACATCATCTGCAAAACCAGAATGAAAAAGATTCTCTTTCTATAAGGCAAATAAAACAACATTTGTATAACATACTAAGGAAACAATTTCTCTATGTAAGACCAAAATATAATAATTTTCAGGACTACTTATGTTTTATTCTTTTATCACGACTTATTTAATTTAGTTCATAACTTAAAAAATGTAATAACTCATCCTATTACTAAAGCAATACACATGGACAAAATATAAGTACTTTTTATCTATTATTTAAAGGGACTAAATATTTCAGTTTTAATATGTCACTGCGACTGCTACAAATGTTATTTGCCACCAGCTGGTGCTTTAATCTTGTCATTAAAAGTGATGTGATTAATCCTACTTTTAAAGTGACAGAATTTGTTTGAGAAAATTTAATCCTAGTTTAATCACTTTTTCAAATAATTTAAAAGTAATTCTTTTGTCCATTTTAAAACTAGATGTTATATTATGGTCATTATTACAATACTTTAACTCAATATACGACTAGAAAATAAACTGCATAAACTTAATGACTAGAACTCATACATTAAATTTTAGTTTTATAGTGGTGGTTTGCAGGGGCAGTCTGTAGGCAAATTATGATGACAATTCCCGTGTGACTTCTAGTTATAATTTTATAGTTGAGTTTAGAAAATTTCTGAGATTGGTGACATTGTATGGTGGTAGATGCTATATGACTGACAGTAATTTTTATCTAGTCATTTAAAGTGGATAATAGAATACATTCAATAAAGTGGTTAATAGAACAATGAATTTTTGGTCAATCGCATATAAAATCATATCCACTTTTGTAGTTTTGCTCCTATTTATGGAAGTTTCCCTTTAATAAATAACCACTACTGAACACAAACCTCGAGAGAGCACAAAACCGCCAAATGTAAACAACAACAGTAAAGCAAAGGATCCAAATGTGTTTGCAACTCCCATAGTCCTACCCATAGCTGCAATCAATCGGAAGAATGAAGAAGCCATTTGGTTCACCATTATCAATATCAAGAACTGTTTGAACAACCTGAATCAGTAGAAAATAGTCACTCACTAAAAATTGAATGATCAATAATATAGCAAGTGATGTATTTGTGATTCATATTAGAATAACTAATACACACTATCGTACCTCCCAACATTTGGATCAAAGCCTATGACATAGTAAGAAACAAACACCCATAGGCTGACTTCAACGATTGTAATAGGGACCTTGAGGATCCAAGAAGGAATAGAATAAGCCCAAGGGGGAAAGAATTGGAGGTCCCTTTGCTTGTAGAACACCGGAAGCTTATAAATGGTCATTGGAAGCTCAGACATACCGTTGAACATAACTACAAACACCCCGAAAAACAACGCACCCACAAAAATCCCACCATCGGTTTCATTATCTTTCTTCATTTCAGTTCGGAGAAATAGGGTCATGGTAACAAAACATATTATCAAAAGCTGGACACATATAAACAAACAACATCAAATGAATAATCGTCATATATAGTGTGAACAAATTAAAGCAACTAATTAGTAATGGGTTAAATCCTTTAATAGGAGTAAAACATAGTATAATTTACTAAATCGCAGTAGCATGTTCAATAAAACTAAATAAGAAATTGGCCGTTTAACCATGTTTCCTATATTTAGCTTTAGAGAGAAAGAAAATATATGTGCTTGAACTATATGTTAGAGAACAAATATACACATCAATTTTCTTTTGGAACAATTTAGCACAAAATTGTAAACTTGGAAGAAATATATCCTTGTGTACAAATAGTTGATGGTATATCTATTCTCTGATACATAGTTTGAGAGTATTATATCATACCATTCATACCCTTCCTTTTATTTATATCTACAACTTTTTCATTTCAATTTTAAGTACCTTTTCAGTGCTACAGAAAAAGGAGTGTAGTTTAGCTTTTTCTATCCCACTTTCTTCATCTACTTACATACCCAAAATTTATGTAACTACTACTTTGGGATGATGAAAGTATATGGTTAAAAAGTATGTGTTCCTATATAACAATCTTTTTGGGTTTAATTAATCCTAAAGAAAGTTGATAAACATATTTGATTTGCGATGAGATGTAGTTTAAAGTATATATGTTCTATCTATCCTTATTTTTTATAACACAAAAAAGAATATAAAATTATTAAATTCAAGGAACAACAACCTTCAGATCGATCACTCTGGCACAGGTCGCCCCTGCTAGCTGCCTAGCAGCCAGACAATGCCGCAGCCCGTCACCATGAAACACTAAACTCTACATACTTAACTAATACAACAGAAAAACTAACCCCTTCTTTTTTGGGGTTTTGGGATCAAAACGTAAAAAGAACCCATATTTTTGGCATAAGAAATATGTGGTTATAATTTTGTATTGACAGCTTATGATGATTTACTTCTATAAGGGGAACTTTTTAGTTAAATGATTCACCTGAACGAACTTGAAGATGTAAGCAAATGAGTTTCTTTGCATTAGTAAATACTCTCTATTGGTGCAAACTTTCAAGAGCTGCCTCTTCCCTATACCATAGTTCCCTTTTGTTAAGGCAGCGGGGTGGCTTTTGGTTTTATCGAATGGAACTGAAAGCTCATCCGCCATCCTCCTCCCAACATGGAAGGATTGGTACGCCTCCGCAAATTCCTTAACCTTCACAAACCTATAAGGTTCGTTTCTGTGAATCCAATATTGTTGTTGATCTTTCTTTGATGTCACCTGTCAACAATTAAAATTAGTGCATACAGAAGAGAGCACTTTAGGTCGTTTTACAAGGTTTTCAATGTTCGATTCAAGATCCACTTGTTTGTTTTCAATTCATTTAACAACAATTTAGAGCCCGTTTAGTGACTCTGTTTTTCAGCTTATCAGGTTTATCAGCCAACTTTTTAAACAAACACGTAACTTTTGATTTCACGCACTACATTGTGTAAATAAGAAAGAGTAAGGTTGGAGTTACTTTTTTGGCTGTATTAGTTGAAGTTACGGTAGATGACCATTTTATCTATTTTTTCATATAGTTTTTTCTTTATTTTATTAATAAAATATATTTTAAATATATTTTTTTCATAAATCAACAGAATCAGCCATATAGCCACTTCAGCCAAAACTTCATAAATTTCAGCACAATCAGCTGATTCAGCCGATTCAGGCTCTTAGATTTTTTGAAAACTTAATTTTCTTTAGTAGAACCTACAACAACCTCCAAAAATTCAAATTTTGAAAACTCCAAAGCAAAGATTCTTATAGGTTAAGTTGTATTTATATGCAACTTAATATATAGATATATCCTTAATTTCTCAACAACTGGCTTAACCAAATAATGATCCAAATAACGTTTAATATAAACATAACCCAATTAGTGTACTTAATTCAAAACAATTACTAAAATTTGCTCTATCAACATAGACGATTGATATTAAGGGTGATGGAAATGCATACTTCTTGCAAGAAATCAGCTACGCCTTTTCTCTGAGGGCATTTGAAACCCATGGATTCGAAGAAATCAAGGATGTCTTCGCGTGGCCCATTGTAAACGACGTACCCATCCGACAATAGAATGATGTCATCGAAGAGATTGTAGGTCTCAGGTGCCGGTTGGAGCAGTGAAATGACGGCAGTACCCTTGAGAATGTGGACAAATTGCCGCAACGAGTTGATGATAGAGTAGGTGGTGGAACTGTCCAGCCCCGTCGAGATTTCGTCCATGAAGAGAGCTTTTGCGGGTCCAACAATCATTTCACCAGTGGTGACACGCTTTTTCTGGCCACCGGAAATACCTCGTACCATCTGGTCGCCAACCATTGTGTCAGCACATACTTCTAATCCCAAAACCTGCATCACGTAGACGCGTTAATAACTTAATATTATACTCCCTCCGTCCCTTTGATATTATACAGTATTGATATTATATATTTATAAAATGATACTCCCTCCGTCCCGTTGGAATGTTCCCATTCACTATTCATTGGTCAACTTAGGTCACTCCTAATCTTTTACTTTATATATCAAATTTTTATCAAATTGAACTTTTCTTGATCAGGCTTTGTAGCGGGTTTAATGTAGTTTCTGAATATGTAAATTTTATTTACTAAAAATAAGCGGAGTGTGAACAGGGATCGAGTTGCTTTATCGTCAGTCAAGCATCGTAAACCGAACGGGAACATTCCAACGGGACGGAGGGAGTATATAATATATTTATATTATATAAATACGCGTTTAGCATTGATATTATATACTACGTATTTATATAATATTTAAATGATGTTAAACTTTGACCGATTATATATTTGTACACAGTAGTACTGATAATATGAAAATGATATGAAAAATGTACTTTGTTAAAAATATCATCATAAAAGTATAACTTTTTTAAGTTCCACATAAATATATTAGTTCAAATAGTGGACCAAAGATGGCTAAATAAAAAGGGACGGGGAAAGAGGCAGTATCTCTTTTTCCTTAATATCTCTCAGGTAAGTTTTCTTCACTTCACTATTTTCTGTTGATGAGTTAAACTAGATATTACCTTTAGAACATAATCGGTGACCATATTTGCTTCTTGTCCTTCCGTAGCTGCAGCCTGTAATAATTGTTTAAATGGATGTTTGAAGTTGGATTAGCACAATTGAATGTTATCATCAAGTATAACAAATTGTAAATTTCAGTTTCAAAGGAATACAGAGTAATGTTATCATCAAGTTTAAACCAGTACTTCATTATTTTCTTAAACAAGAGCTGTGGTATTGTCCTTCTTGCAGGGTTGTATGAAAAGTGGATCTAGCTTGGAGGAAGACGGAGACGGCTTGGTGAACGAAGATGACACAATGCCAATGAAGCAAGTGGAGCCTTTCGTTTTCAATGGTTTGCTATTACTCCTTCCTTCCGGTTAACCATGTTTTGCTTAGTCCCACTAAGATTGTCTCATACCAAATTTGGTAAAACTTGTGTGTTTCTAAAGCATTCTTACTTTATTCTTACTTTATCAATTCTATATCAACCACATAGATCCATTTTTTAATAATCACATCACCTCCTCATATCTCAATGTTAGTGGAACGGAAATAGTACTTTATTTCCTTTTTTTGTTTACCGTTGAATTGGTGCAGTTTTCTTTTGTTTTGATCTGGACTTTTTGCCTATGTTTTCTGTTGATCTGACAGGGCTAGTGTTTGATTTGAATTGGACTAGAAGCATGAAGTTTTGGTCATTGGTCTTTTTTGTTTGGGGGTTGATAGTTGTTGTTGTTGTTAGTATAGCATGTTCATACTCCCTCCGTTCAACCAGACAGTATCAACTTTCATTTTTTGTTTGTCCCAAAACATTTATCATTTTTCTTTTAGAGTAATGAATTTGTGAGTCAGTTTATTTTTCAATCACACAGTTCTCAATTTTCTTATTTAACACCCAACATAATTGGCAAAGTCCAATGAGACGAAGGTAATACAATATTCCCCATAAAAAATAAAACTAGTACTTCACAATATCTTTATATGATACAGAGTAGAAAATTCGGAATGATAATAATAATAATAATAAGTGAAAAACACGACAGATTAAATACGAACAGACTTACCTTCATATATACATCTATATCTGAATCGGGCTTAATATTTTCGGCCTTCTCTCTTCTTGACAGCTCGACCAACATTTCTGCATATATTTTTACAAACATCCAAACAGATAAAACATGACTTATTCGTGGTGTTATATTCCATGGGGTTCCTAGGATTCTTCTATCAGTTTTAACGATCATTTTATAAAAGACTTATTCACAAGTCAATCATGTGAGTGCCTCCGAGATGTTATGTAATTTTTCATTTGCTATTGAAGCTATTCTTTCTGCATGAATCCTTTTTTCTCAAACACTGTCATGCTTAATTCTCAATTCAACTACGACAGTATCGATGGTGCCCCCAACCACCATCACAAGATGGAAGAATGGTGCTTCATTGTCATGAGAATGTTGAGTACAAGATTGGAATAAATATTGTGGTTCAGTCAGGCGGGATGTACAAGATTATATACATTTGCATTTATTTCGATTCTCAATTTTTTGTTTTATCGCTTTGAAGTTAGTAGATGGTTTGTAAAATTTTCAAAATCAAACATGGTGATGTTAAGTTTTGGTTTGTCTTTATTAGCGACTTTTGCGACTCATTTACGAGTGGCAAAATAGTCAAAGTCTAGTTATTGAATTTATGTTTGGGACTAATTGAATTTGTCTTGACTTTAATTTCGGGCAATTTACATTCAAAAATAAATAAACAAAGAGAGAAGTACAAACCATAACGAGACCCGACACCCTGACATCTAGCTGAGAATTCCAAGGTTTCCCTGACAGTCATTTCACCAATGTGCACATCATGTTGACCAATATAAGCAGCTGTTCTTTGGGGCACGAATTCCTCAAGGCCATGCCCGTTATATGTCACTCTTCCTCCAACCTTTAAATCTTTATCAAGCTTTCCAGCCAACGCCAGCAAAAGCGTTGTCTTCCCAGAACCAGGAGGTCCCAATAATAGTGTCATTCTACATGGTTTAATTATTCCACTTACATCATTCAGAATAGTAATGCTCCTCTTCTTGCTCTTGGTTATGTGAAGGACGTTCAGAAAATCCTTTCAAGGAAAGAAAACAGACACAAGATTTTGGTTTTAGTCATCAATAATATAATGCACCAGATTGCTATTCAATTGGTGTTTACTTGTAGGCTTATATAGCTCACAATACTAGAGCTAGGAGAGAATTAAAAAAGTTAAAGGATTCTCACAATAATTTAAAAGTAACTTTATATAAATGAGCCTCATTATTTTTACATTTGACACCTGCATGAGCCTACAAGCTGCCAGGCGCGACGACAGCGAACACTACAGATGGAGGGAGTCAGATTCCTTTCTCAACCATTAAATTCGGATCTGTAATAGTCCAAATCCCAGGAGTTCTTCACCAGCCGCACAAGCTTTCGTGGGAAGGGAACTCCGCAGCCACTGTGTACGGATGGCAACCAGCTCCCCTGCGACGGGGTCAGAGGTTTAGCAACGGGGATGGTGGTACTTCGGCCGCTCAAAAGCAAGCAGTGTCCGGACTCCATGAGGCGGCCCAGCTTCGACCGGAGACCCAGTCTCGAGCGGCGACCCAGCAGCAAGCAGCGACCCTGTTTCGAGAGGCTACGAATCGAACTTTCAGAGGGGCAAGACCATCGGCATCCAGTCGCGGTCTTCACCATCGCCGACGGCACAGTAATGGCTGGGGACCTCCAGGTAGACGGTGGGTTTAAACAAGGCAGTTTTATGGCAATCTGTCTCTGGGGAATGACAGGAACTGTGAAATTGTTGAAGCCACCAATTTTGCAGCAAGAAAGTCCCTCCCTACAAACTGGGTAGGACGACACCCAATAAAACCAACCCAGATTTTTTCGCAAACCCGATAGGTTTTCGATCCCATATTTTCGGTAGCAATTTTATACGGATTTCAGAGGCTCTGATGGAATCTGTTGTGCTATCGATCTTGATTTGAAAACGATTTCTTCATGGAAGGACTAAATTCTTAAGCTTTTGGCTATGTTTAGCTCAACCAATTGAAACTAAAGCGTAATTTTGAGATGGTGAATCTGAATTGACAACCTAATTAAGTAGATCCGTTTGATAAAAAAACTGAAAAATGTCATCATAAATTACATAAAAGGGCATGAAATTTATTAATAGAACAAAATATTATTACAATAATTTTTATGGTTTGATAATTATGTAAATTGTTAAAAGTAGTATATATTTTTATAAGTATGCGTGTGTGTGCTATATATATAGTACGCTTCCGATCAATAATTCTTGATCGGAACCGCCGTCCGGACGACGGCATTTGAGACTCTTCTCGGTGGAATTCGTTGATGAAATTTTTATGGCATTTTCTTCGTCAAGTCATGTTTATCCACACAAAAAATCAGCAAAAAATTCAATCGGGAAGGCCGTTAAATAATTTTTAGAAGATAATTGCGTCCAAAATAACAATAAGACAAGTTTCAAACTACTCTTACACAAACATAACAAGGAGGATAATGGTAATAAGTAATCTGAAAACGTTATTGGCCAAATCAGGAAGAAAAATCTGGATGAGAAGAGCTAAAGAAGAAAAAAGGTTGTGTGCGGGTTATTTGCAGCGAAGAGAGGGTAATCTGTGCGCAGGGTTATAATTGATATCTATAGAAGGGCTGGATGAAAACGTTATGCCTAGAAACGTTGTGATTCAGCTCAATTTTTTCAGCTTAAGCTCAGTTTAGGTATCTATCCAAACAGGACTATTTTTAGGATAATTGGCCGTATTTAAGAAATTCCAGCTCATTTTGAGCTGAAATGGCATGCCAAACATAGCCTTTATCTCCATCTTCGATTAAGGCTGAACAATTCTTTTTGTCTCTAAACTTTTTTTCTAAACACTTAATTTTATATTTTGCACGTTGAATTATGTAATATTACGTAATAAAAAAATATATGATTAGGGTTATGGTAGAGGATCATTTTTTTTGTTTTTTCATATGATTTTTTATGAATTTTATTAATAAAATGTATTTTAAGTATTATTTTTTCATCGATCAGTAAAATCAGTCACTCAAGTCATTTTAGTCAGAACTACACAAATTTCAATAGAATCTGTCAATACGATGGATTTAGTTGTATGATGTCAATATTTTTGGTGGGTTTATTTGTATGATCAACAAGGGACAAAATTGTTTATTCAATCCCAAAGGATGGAATGGATTGGAGTTTTACCATTTTTTATCTGACTTTCTAAAGCAACTACTTTTATGCATGAATTAGAAGTCAAGCCACCACTTAAAGCGGCGTTAAATAAAAAATGGTTCAATGGAAACATTTGTTCGTGAAATGAAGTCAAGTTTTAAACGTTCTCCTCAGAATGAAAACTTATAGAAGAAGAATGATTTAGCTACCGAAAATGAAACGATTCAGAAATAAGACCACAAGATTGATTTAGCTACCGAAGTGATTTAGGAGTTGATAATACTAGAATTAATTCTTTAAATAAGACTACAATATTGGTAAAGTACACAACTAGGACCACCATTGTTTCCTTTCATAAATAAGGTTCACCAATACATGATTTTTTATGAATGTCTTGAAATATTATTATTATCCATGTTGGTTTATGCAGAAAATAGTTTTGCAATTTTTTTAAGATTAAGCACATTTTAATTCTTTGCTCCTAGGCTTTCAAACATATAGGACCGACCCTATGTGGTCGAGCGGGGCCCTATGTGGTCGAGCGGGGCCCTATGTGGTCGAGCGGCTTTTAGCTATTACGATTATTTTCAGTTTAATCACATTTTATTCATAAATTTTATTTTTAATAACATTTTAGGAAAATCATCTATAAATAAATAAAAACATATGTAAACACTAGTTGCAACTTGGAAGAACAAAACATTTGGTAACACTAAATGACTAAAAAGCTTGACCACTTATTGTTAGGTTACATCTACTTATATATACGATAGTTACATCTTTTTATGCGCGAGTTACATCTAATTATTTATTGTTTTTTACTTATCCTTATCTTTAACTAATTAAATTACAACTGGATTAACTTCTTTCTTTACCAATTTATTACAAAAAAAATTTAACCCTCATAAAATAAGTATATTGTATTTCATAATCATACATTACTTTTTTACTTTTTTATTCATCTTAAATTACTACCGAATTTATTCTTTGTGGATTTTTTTTGAATGTATACACTTTTTTTGTAAAATTTATTTCATATTCACACTTTTTGTATAATAAATTTCTTATCTATTTTATATGTTTTAGTGTTTTAAAGACATTGGGTTTGTTTATTTTGATTTAAATTTGATAAAACATGAGATTGCATGTCTCATATGTGTGAGTTATGTTTATAAACATTATAAGGAGTTACAATTGATAACATATGGAGTTACATCTTCTTATATGGGAATGACATCTTCTTGTGTGAGTTACATCTTTTTATGCACGAGTAACATCTTTTTGTGCGTGAATTACATATTTCTATGCGCCATTTACATCTGGGTTTGCCTCAACCAGTTACATTTTCCATACACCTAAGCTAGAGTTTCCATCAACGTGAGGAACATTTTCCATAATACGAATTACATCACAACATAAAGCCCCGATTGAAACAAAAGAATCATTGTTTTGCAAAAAAATGATTTTTTTTTTGCAAAAATATGAATTTAAAAAAATATGACTTTAATATTAAAAACAAAATACATTCAATATTTAAGTAAGCCTTTGCTATTGAAACAAAAAAAATCACTGTTTTGCAAAAACAAAATGATTTTTTTGGTGAAAAAATGATTTTTCGAAAAAAAAAATTAAAAAAAAAACATTTTTATGGCCTTCATATTGAAAACATATTCATTGTTTATGTAAAGTAATGAACCATTAGACTCCTTGTTTTCATTAAAATCAATGAGTTATTTCTTATAATACGTATTAGGCAAGTTACATTTCAACTTGCTCGCAGTTACATGTTTTATTAACGTGAGTTACATTTCTTTACATCTGAGTTACATCATTCTGCTACTGCGATAATAAAAAAAAGTTAAAGTTCACGCGTGTGAACAATAACATTCATTTTTGCCTGGGGAGCAGCATGCTCTCCATGGGCTGCTCCCACGGTATACCAACTCCATATGTATGGTTCTCAATTGTGTGTGTTGGAAAAGGAAGAAGGGAAGTAGAAGTGTCATAGAGGGTCGGGAAAAGAAAGCACGAGATGCAAAAGCTAAGAGAGGTAGAGATTGGAGGAGGAAATTTAAAAAAGTCATTTCAAAAGACCTCGAGCATGAGAAAACACGTTATGTCCTATCCATTAGGTTTGTAAACGAATTGAATAATTTTTATTCGATTCGCGATTCGAATTCGAAAATGTGTATTCGAATTCGGGTAAGTAAAATACGAATACGAATACAAAACTATTTTTTGATTCGAATAGTTTTTAAATATGAAATACTATGATATTCGATTCGAACAATATTCAAATATACTCATACAATATATATTACTCCTTATAAATAATACGGAGTATAATTCAATGTAAAAATATCAATGACATAATATTTATGTACAAAAACTAGTAGGTATTTTGCATGTGTTTAATTTAAATGTTCCTACTTTGCTAAGTCAAAATATCTTATTTTAGAGTTATAATTCTTCATTTATCTATTTATCAACCATTCTTGTTATACTCACCTTTATACCTACCATGTATGTGCAAAGCTTTTTCGTTTGTGAATCCGGTTCACAGACATAATATGTCTTAGTTTGTTTGTGCAAAAATTTCCACGGACAAAAATTTACACAGACAAAAAAGCCTTACACATACATGATGGGTATAAAGGTGGGTATAGGGGTGGGTAGAAATATCTTTTTTGTTTATTTATATTGATATTATATTTGAAAAAGTGACTTCTAGATATATTTTGTTTGGAATGAAATATGTACTACCAAAATGAGGTAAAAGGGGCAAATTATACATTATAGTTTTAATTATTTTCATAATTTAACTTTGATGATTTTTGAAAATGAATATTCAAATAGTATTCGAACAATATTCGAATATACTCAAAAATACCAAACGAAATGAATATAAAATAATATTCAATATTAAACGAATACGAATATTCGATAACTATACGAATAATATTGTCAAGTATTTGGTTCAATTCGATTCGTTTACAACCCTACTATCAATTAAAGACATGTATAAAATATAATATATTTTAATTTCTTTAGTTTTATTAATTTCATCACAAACTTTTTGGATTTAAATTTGTTCGTTTAATAAGTTAATTAAAAAATTAATTTAAAAACTTATATAGTTCATGATATTTGGTATTTTATCGTTGAGTTTCATTAAAACCGATTTTCGTATTGAGATTAGTATAGATCCAGACACAACAATCATACCCGAAAATAATGACATTATATGATATGACTATCAACAAAAGTGTAGGACACTCTTTATCACGTGTTGGTTTGCTGTTAAATAAATTCATTTTTTGTCATATACCGTTTTATTTTGTCGTGTCTCGAGTAAGCACTAGGAAGATGTTGCACCAAACACCTCGTGGTTCAATGGCATCACTGTGACACTCCCAATGAGGAGGTCACAACTTTGGAACTCATCCCAGTTAATGATGTTGACATTTAATAGAACAAATACTATGAGAAAAAAGAAAGTACAACAAAATAAACATATGCTTTTTGCTTTGTTTAATTTTTTATTGTTCAAATTTAGTCCATTACTTAATGTGTAACTTGGAGTTTTCTGGACTATCACATTTCTATCACTCAATATATATATACACACACACACATTTATTTGTATAATTAATTTCTTGACTAATCACTTGTAACACTTAATAAACCACACACCTCAATATAATTGGTAAAGAAGTTGATGAAGGAAGGTGAAGCTCTGCTGCCTGCATAAGCATCTGCCTCCACATTCAGATGCTCATATCTTACTTCGATGGACGGAAGATTGATCCCAACTCTGCCAATAATTAATTTGTTTAACACTTAAGAATTGAACATATATTATTGGGAAAAATAATTAAAATACCCCAAACTTT